ATTTCAGGGGACTGTTAAACTATGTAACTGACTAGGCTGTTAAGAGAGCCAGAATCTTCAACACACTCACAGTAACACTTGCTGTACAGAGTCAAAACTTGGCTACGTTGTCATCCACTGATAACACTCTTCATACAAATTTTTGACTACACTTTTCGTTTAATTTGCTGTATAGTTGTAACTTAATCTGCGCACTGTTCTTGTTATTCCTTTTGAGTAAATTTTTGTGCCAGTACACCAGGATCAAACTTGTTAAAAGCTGTCGCAAAAATTTTAGTTTACGTTTCCATTTTGTTTATCGGATTTTTCAACGCCCTCCCTCAACTCATACATCTGGTTGTCTTCAAAAGAACTAGATAACCTCCTCTTAATCACCGCCTGACCAGCCGGACTGTGGCTCCTATGTTGCGCTGCATGTGGCCAGCAGTAACAGCCTGGATGATCAGACCTTCACACTCCAAAAGGCCTGGTCTTGGATCGGGCCGTAGGGGCAGTGACCCCCCGGAAACGCCCTTCAGGTATTAGGTATCGTCTATGAGAGGCAGGAGCGTCCTGTTTTTAAACCATTGTTGCCATGGACTGTGTAAAAATAGTGATTCAGTGCTCTTTCATTCTCTGTACTCGGAAAATGTAATACTAATATATGATGTCAATGTCACTGATCTATAGTTTTTCCCGACTGCTTTATTGCCCTATCTGTAGAGTAGGACTCTCTTCTTGGTGTTAACTGCCCGTGTGATGACATGTCTCCACAGGATACTGAAGACCCGTGATAGTTACTACTGCCCGTGTGATGACATCTGTCTCCACAGGATACTGAAGACCCGTGATAGTTACTGTTTAGTAATTTTATCAACTAATTTTTCCAAGCAGTAGTGCATGGGACAGATTGCACATTCTTCACTGACATTTGGAAACTGCACACTCAGAGGAGTCACAGAGACACCAGACAACACTTTTCCAGTCTTTACGGTTATGAAAAAGAGGTCAAAGATAAATGAAAAGGTTGTGGAAGAAAATTCCAGGATAGGAAACTGTAACGAACACTGTTAGGCAGTAGAGAGGCAGGGCCAGGAGCTTGAGCTGTACCTTCCACCCATACAGGTAGAGCTAAGTAGAGCAAGGCAAGTACACACGCACACAGAAACAAGGTTCAGCATTAAAGCAATCAACCCTGACAAGCATAATGATGACGGGGATACAGAGCCCTGTAGAACCCCTGCCTACCACGAGTGGAGTCTCTGTTGCATACCTGCCACCTGTGGAGCCCCTGTCACATACCTGCCACCAGTGGAACCCCTGTCACATACCTGCTACCTGTGGAACCCCTATCACATACCTGCCACCTGTGAAACCCCTGTCACATACCTGCCACCAGTGGAACCCCTGTCATATACCTGCTACCTGTCGAACCCCTATCACATACCTGCCATCAGTGAAACCCCTGTCACAAATCTGCCACCTGTGGAACCCCCTATCACATACCTGCCACCAGTGAAACCCCTATCACATACCTGCCACCAGTGGAACCCGTCACATACCTGCCACTTATAGAACCCGTCACATATCTGCCACCTATGGAACCCGTCACATACCTGCCACCAGTGGAACCGCTGTCACATACCTGCCACCTGTGGAATCCCTGTCACATACCTACCACCAGTACAACCCCTGTCACATACCTGCCACCAGTGCAACCCCTGTCACATACCTGCCACCAGTGCAACCCCTGTCACATACCTGCGACCAGTGGAACCCTTGCCACATACTTGCCACCAGTGGAACCCTTGTCACATACCTACCACCTGTGGAACCCCTGTCACATACCTGCCACCAGTGAAACCCCCTGTCACATGTACAACCAGTGGAACCCCCATCACATACCTGCCACCAGTGGAACCCATGTCACATATCTGCTACCAGTGGAACCCCTTTCACATACCTGCCACCAGTGGAACCTCTGTCATATCCTTGCTACCAGTGGAACCCGTCACATACTTGGCACCTGTGGAACCCTTGTCACATACTTGCCACCTGTGGAACCCGTCACATACCTGCCACCAGTGGAACCTCTGTCACATACCTGCCACCAGTGGAACCTCTGTCACATACCTGCCACCAGTGGAACCTCTGTCACATACCTGCCACCAGAGGAACCCCTGTCACATACTTGCCATCAATGGATCCTTTCACATACCTGCCACCAGTGGAACCTGTAACATACCTGCCACCAGTGGAACCTGTAACATACCTACCACCGGTGGATCCCCTGTCACATATCTGCCACCAGTGAAACCACTGTCACACACCTGCCACCAATATAACCTTGTTACATACCTGCCACCGATAGATCCACTGTCACATACCTGCACCAGTGGATCCCTGTCACATACCTGCCACTGGCAGAACCCATGTCACATACCTGCCACCGGTGGAACCCGTCACATACCTGCCACATGTAGAACCCTTCACATACCTGACACCGGTGGAACTCTTGTCACATACCTGCCACTGGTGGAACCCTTGTCATATACCTGCCACTGGTGGAACCCTTGTCATATACCTGCCCTGGTGGAGCCTTGTCATATACTGCACTGGTGGGCCCTTGTCATATACCTGCCACTGGTGGAACCCGTCATATACCTGTCACTGGTGGAGCCCTTGTCATATACCTGCCACTGGTGGAGCCCTTGTCATATACCTGCCACTGGTGGAACCCTTGTCATATACCTGCCACTGGTGGAGCCCTTGTCATATACCTGCCACTGGTGGAACCCCTGCCACATACCTACTTCCTTGGTCCTTATCCAAGCAAGGTGTTGGTGTTACGGCCCTGTGGTCCACGTATCCATCAATCTGGTTGATCTGGTACTTGGTAAACGTGGTGGATCAGTTTCCTCTTGAAAACTTCTACACTTCTTCCGCAGTATTTTTTTTTATATCGGCTGAAAGCAGGTTGAAGAGTCTTGAACCATGGTTTTGGACACGTCTTGCTGTGTCCATGGCACTTGTGTCCATGGCACTTGTGTCCATGGCACTTGTATCCATGGCACTTGTATCCATGACACTTGTGTCCATGGCACTCCTGCTTGTCACTGGATCTATTTTACACTTTTCGTATTTCTTTCATCCAAGTAAGTTATTGTGAGATTATGTTGATTTGCAACTTGGCCCTCCAGTGTCTTCCATGAAACATTGCTGGACAAGTGTACTAGTCTTCAATAGGAAACTGGACAAGTATCTTCACCAGATGCCAGAACAATCAGGTTGTGATGGATATGTGTCTTAGCGGACCACCCGCAGCAACAGCCTGGTTGGCCAGGCAAGCACCAGACGAGCCTGGCCCATGGCCGGGTTTCAGTAGAAAAATTCTCGGAACTTATCAAAGGTAAAGGTATATCAAAGGTATTTCTCTTCACTCCTGACGCTTATTGTGTTGTCTGTTAGCGTACTCATGGCTCCCCTGCTTTTCATAGAGGGGATATTGCACCGCCTGCCCAGTCTTTTGTTTCATACTTATTTTGGAATCTCTACACAAATAATGACGGTAAGCTGTGCTGTTGTTTTTAGCTATACGTGAAACAGTAGCTACATGAGAAACAGTAAAGGCGCATGGATCCTATCTCGGGATACTGAGCTTGTTACTATGATGATGATGATGATCCTTATTTCTACGTGATACAACTTATACACACCTAGCTGGTATCAACGACATCCTATATAAATAGCCCCTGGTTATGCAGAACATTTCGGGCAACTTAGGTTAATCTTGTCCCCCACGATGCGACCCACACCAGTCCACTAACACGCAGGTACCTACTTGCTGCTAAGTGAACAGGGACAGCAGGTGTAATGAATCACGCTTAATGTCCCCACCCGTACTGGGGATCAAACCACGGACATTCAATGTGTGAGCTACGGGACACAAAGTCTTAAGACTGGCTTTTGTTTTTTACTACTACTCTTTCCGTTTTGTCCGTTAGAAAATTTAATATACATTTTCCTGTTTTCCTCATGACTATTGTATGGGCTATTATTCCCCCCACCCCCGCAGCATAAAAAATAGTAAATATCATCATCAATATAAACATTCAATATCTTAAACCAACAAACTACAACATTCCGTTTATTTCTAAACTCCTCGCCGAGTGAAATGCAATGTTTGCAGCTTTTACAGAGACATTATAAAAGACTACTTCAATAAACATGGAAACGAGGGTACCAGCTACTTAGATACGACCGGGAACACACACAACAAGGAGGACGGAGAGGCTCATCTGTTAAAGAGCTGCTCATTTGCACTGAGTCACTTAAGAGCACAAATAAACTTTTATTGATTAACATAGAGAAGCGTTCATAAATAGAGCGGATGATACCGTGAATGAAATCCGTAAAATAGGTCGTGTGTGAAAACTGCCAAAAATTTAAATTATGATACAAATATCGTAGTAAAATGGTATACTGATTGTACAGCTCTACTAGTGTAACTACAAACACAATGGGTTAGTGCACCCATGTACCTTTCTCAACCTCTACTAGTTTAAGAGACACGTAAGTACCCCTGTCTTCTAATAACATGCTCATTTCTCCACTATAATTTACCTTGTCCATAATTACTATCGCATTTGCTTTGTTTGTTTCGTATATTGTTAAGTTATACCATGAATTAAGGAAAGATCCTGGGCTTCACCTTACGAAACAGACAAAGCAAATGCGATGGTAATTATGGACAAGGTAGATTATACTGGAAAAATGAATATGTTATTAATTATATGCGTAAATAGGTAACTATGCCTAGGTAACCTCCAATAAACAAGTACATCCAGGCACCTACAAATTACACGTAAGTAGATACAAACATGCCAGTGTACCAGGGTAGTTACAAAGGCGTTAGTACACTTAAATAGTTGCGTAGAGGTTATATCTGTTAGATACACCTACACAATCAAAAAATTAGGTAACTGTAGGTAGTATATGAGAGAAGTTATAAGGTGAATTACCTGTTTGATCTGGTCAACGAGGGCTGCTGTGTCAGGAGGAAGACCCTCAGTGTTGACGTCGAAGCTCAGCTGTTCCCGCTGGGGAGAGAGAGAGAGAGATTCTTAGGAACCTGAGACCGTGGTGGTGGTAGTTTTGGTAGTGCTAGTTGAGTGTTGGTGGTAGTTGTGGATGTTGAGTGCTGATAGTTGTGCTAGTGCTGGTGATTGTGAGTGTTGGTTATTGTGGTAGAGCTGGTGACTGTGAGTGTTAGTGGTGGTAGGAATGCTGGTGATGGTGGTGGAAATATCGGTGATGGTGGTGGAAATATCGGTGGTGGTGGTGGAAATGCTGATTATAGTGGTGGGAATTGTGGAAGAGGAAATGCTGGTGGTGGGAATGTCTGTAGGGTTGGTGGTAATGGTAATGCTGGTGGTGATGGGAGTGTTAATGGTGTCCCGTAGCTAGATTGCTAGCACACTCGGCTCACACACTGAGGTCCGGGGTTCTAATCTCCTCCGGCAGGGTGGAAAACATTAAGAACATAAGAACATAAGAACATAAGAACGAAGGAACACTGCAGAAGGCCTACTGGCCCACGCGAGGCAGGTCCAAGTCTCCTACCGGCTTAAGCCAATGCACCCAACCTAGTCAGGTCAGGTCACATTGACTTAAGGGAGGAACACGGCAACCGACCTGTTAGCACAAGCTATCAGGTCTAACTCACACCCACCCACATCTACTCATGTATTTATCCAACCTATTTTTAAAGCTACACAACGTTCTGGCCTCTATAACGGTACTTGGGAGTTTGTTCCACTCATCCACAACTCTATTACCAAACCAGTACTTTCCTATATCCTTCCTGAATCTGAATTTTTCCAACTTAAAACCATTGCTGCGAGTCCTGTCTAGGCTAGATATTTTCAGCACACTATTTACATCCCCTTTATTTATTCCTGTCTTCCATTTATACACCTCAATCATATCCCCCTAATTCTACGTCTTTCTAGAGAGTGCAGTTTCAGGGCCCTTAGTCTATCCTCATAGGGAAGGTTTCTGATACATGGGATCATCTTTGTCATCCTCCTTTGTACATTTTCCAGAGAATTTATATCCATTCTGTAATACGGTGACCAAAACTGTGCAGCATAATCTAAATGAGGCCTAACCAAGGATGTATAGAGTTGAAGAACAACCTGAGGACTCCTATTATTTATGCTTCTTGATATGAAGCCAAGGATTCTATTAGCTTTATTGCGAACACTTATGCACTGTTGTCTTGGTTTCAGATTACTGCTAACCAGAACTCCTAAATCTTTTTCGCAATCCGTAATATTAAGAAATACATTATTTAGTTTATATGTGGCATGGTTATTGTCCTGTCCAACATTTAGAACTTTGCATTTGTCTATATTAAACTGCATCTGCCACTTCTCCGACCACTGCATCAGTCTATTCAAATCTTCCTGGAGTGCTCGAATGTCCTCGTCAGAATGAATTCGACGGCCTATTTTGGTGTCATCGGCAAACTTGCCGATGTCGCTCTTTATGCCCTCATCTATGTCGTTTATGTAGATTGTGAACAGCAGGGGGCCCAACACTGACCCCTGTGGAACACCGCTCGTGACGCTTCCCCACTCTGATTTCTCCCCATTTATGCAAACTCTCTGCTGCCTATTTGTCAACCATGCCTCTATCCAGGAAAAAATTTCTCCTCCTATTCCATGTGCTTTAATTTTCCTCAATAGTCTCTGATGTGGGACCCTGTCAAAAGCCTTACTGAAGTCCATATACACAATATCATATTCATTACCATGATCTACCTCCTCAAATACCTTAGTGAAAAAAGTTAATAAATTCGTAAGGCAGGAACGCCCCTTTGTAAAACCATGCTGAGATTCGTTGATTAATTTATGCTTTTCAAGGTGGCTACGAACTGCCTCGGCAATTATTGATTCCATAAATTTTCCCACTATGGAGGTTAGGCTTATTGGTCTATAGTTCGAAGCTAAGGACCTGTCACCTGTTTTGAAAATAGGTATCACATTTGCCATTTTCCACTTATCTGGCACCATGCCAGTTTGTAGTGATATGTTGAAAAGATTAGCCAAAGGTGTGCTAAGCTCCTCTTTACATTCCTTTAGAACCCTTGCATACAGTTCATCAGGGCCTGGGGATTTGTTAGGTTTCAATTTATCTATTTGCCTAAGGACCATGTCACTTGTGACCCTAATAGTGCACAGTTTATTATCGTCCTGTTCTACATAATTTATCATTACTGGTATATCGCTGGTATCCTCTTGTGTAAAAACTGAGAGGAAGTATGTGTTAAAAATTCTACACATTTCCTTATCACTGTCAGTGAGCTGACCCGAGGAACTTTTGAGTGGGCCTATCTTGTCCCTGATCTTACTTCTGTATACCTGAAAGAATCCTTTTGGGTTAGTCTTCGATTCTCTTGCAACTTTAACCTCATAATCTCTTTTCGCTTTTCTAATTCCCTTTTTATTTCTCTCTTGGGACGTGTTTCCATAAGACACCTGCTGTCCCTGTCCCTGTTCGCCTATCAGTTTAAAATGGGTACCTGGGTGTTAGTCGACTGGTGTGGGTCGCATCCTGGGACAAAACTGACCTAATTTGCCTGAAATGCTCAGCATAACAAGGGTCTTTCTATATAGTAGTATGTCATTGATGTCAGCTAGACCTGTATACCTTGTACATGTACTTGAAGTAAATAAAGATATTATTATTATTATTATTATTATTATTATTATTATTATTATTATTATTATTGTGGTTATGATGGTTAGGGTTATAATAACGATAATGTTCATGATTGTGGTGCTTGCGATGATTACAATGATGATTTTAAGTGATGGAATGATGATAATGATTAAAAAATTAGTAAAATTAATAAAACAAAAATAGCACAAAAATAACGCAGATAAGACCAGGGTAACACAGGTCACTGTCACGAACACAGCAGTGTAACACAGGTCACTGTCACGAACACAGCAGTGTAACACAAGTCACTGTCACGAACACAGCAGTGTAACACAGGTCACTGTCACGAACACAGCAGTGTAACACAGGTCACTGTCACGAACACAGCAGTGTAACACAGGTCACTGTCACGAACACAGCAGTGTAACACAGGTAACTGGCATGAACACAGCAGTGTAACACAGGTCACTGTCACGAACACAGCAGTGTAACACAGGTCACTGTCACGAACACAGCAGTGTAACACAGGTAACTGGAATGAACACAGCAGTGTAACACAGGTAACTGACATGAACACAGCAGTGTAACACAGGTTACTGGCACGAACACAGCAGTGTAACACAGGTCACTGTCACGAATACAGCAGTGTAACACAGGAAACTGGCATGAACACAGCAGTGTAACACAGGTTACTGGCACGAACACAGCAGTGTAACACAGGTCAATGGCACGAACACAGCAGTGTAACACAGGTTACTGGCACGAACACAGCAGTGTAACACAGGTCACTGGCACGAACACAGCAGTGTAACACAAGCCACTGGCACGAACATGGCAGTGTAACACAGGTCACTGGCACACACATGGCAGTGTAACACAGGTCACTGGCACAAGCATGGCAGTGTAACACAGGCCACTGGCACGAACACAACAGTGTTATAAACACACGTCACTGGTACAAACACAACAGTGTTATAAACACACGTCACTGGTACAAACACAACAGTGTTATAAGCTTCAAGCTCACAAAACACAACAATAAGCGGAGCTGTTAGGTAGATGTGCTTAGCGAACGTTTCCGAACATTCCACAAGAGTCATGGCACCACATACTTCATACAAGACAGTGCCCAGTGCCACATGTCAAATAGGTCAAGAAATTATTGCAAGATAACAATATTAATGTTATCCAGTGAACAGGGAATACCCATGACCTGAATCATATCGAAAATTATTGGACTGCAATGAAAACAAAGTTCCATTCGAAACACACATCAACAGTGCCACGTTTGACCCATGAGACAAAAAAACTGCAATCAAGAAATTAACATTTTGATAGTATGCCTAACTCCTGTAACTGATTATCCCATCATATGGAAACATGCCCAAATATTAAAGAGTGAAATTTTGTATGTTACTAGAAATTCCTTTGCAATATGGCAATGGCTCTGTAATGTTCTCTCTCTCGTGTGCCATGTATCGACATGATTAAAGACCCTATGGACGTAACGTTGTAATGGTAGTGTAGTGATGTTAGTAGTGTAGGAATGGTGGTAGTGTAGTAATAATGGTAGTGTAGTATGTTGGTAGTGTAGTAATAATGGTAGTGTAGTAATGATGGTAGTGTAGTAATGGTGGTAGTGTAGTAATGGTGGTAGTGTAGTAATGATGGTAGTGTAGTAATGGTGGTAGTGTAGTAATGGTGGTAGTGTAGTAATGATGGTAGTGTAGTAATGATGGTAGTATAGTAATGATGGTAGTATAGTAATGATGGTAGTATAGTAATGATGGTAGTATAGTAATGATGGTAGTATAGTAATGATGGTAGTATAGTAATGATGGTAGTATAGTAATGATGGTAGTATAGTAATGATGGTAGTATAGTAATGATGGTAATATAGTAATGATGGTAGTATAGTAATGATGGTAGTATAGTAATGTTAGTATGCAGTGTCCTCTTGCCATATTTGTCGACACTCTTGCTATTTTAAAAGAGCCACTAGAGTGCATGGGACAGTGACATCTAGATATTTAGCGCTTCTTTTTGATTATAATAATAATAGATATTTATAAGAGGAGACAGTGTACAGATCTGCTATTAACAAATAATACAGGGTGGTCCACTTATATTGTTACTTCTGTGTTAAACACGGATTTTATCTACAAAATAAAGGCTAAGATTATATCAGGCTGTTTATATATTATATATGATTTAGAATGGTTTGCATTTCACTATAAGTTTTGGTATGCAGAAGAGTTTTATCAGTACATCTTATTGTGATGTTTCTCAGAGAATGTCGTATTGGATTTAATAGGTCAATGTTCACTTTAGATGCTTCAAAATATTTCGCTATTTGCAACATCAACTGCATTAT